TCTGTTACATCTTTGTTATAGTGTGGTGACACTGGTTTTTTTCCTCCCCAGAAGAACAGAAACATACTTCACAAATGAAAAGGTTATGTGTCAAAAACTACAAGCAGCATAAAGTAGATGGAACTGTGAATGACATTTTTATTTTGGAGACCTTTTAACCAGACAAAGCCGGATCCCTCTCTTTTAATAGGGGCGGTTACTACTTCCAAAATTAAGAGTAGCTTAATTGGAAGAACAGAAATGTCTCCCTGCACTTCCTAGTTGGGAGAAATCAAATCGAAGTGGACTTCCAAGCTGCACATGGAACGTAACTGAATATCTCACTTTTAGACCACATCTCTAGAACCTGTAAGGATTTTATTTTATTTTTTAACCAAGACTTTCTTTTTCCTCTGTTTTTTCTTGTTCTTTTTCAAAGTACCTAAGATTTGCTCCTTGGTCTGAACATTAAAAATATGATTTCTTATTTTTACCCAAACGCCAAGCAGAGGTTGGAACTGTTCAGTGAGAAAACACTGGAAGTTAATAGCTTCGTGTTATGCTGCAGCCTGACCACAACTGAACCCAAAATGCCCGTTGGTAAGTGAGACAGTTGTTAAGTGAGATTTGTCTCACTTGATGACCCTTCTTGCCACAGTTGTTCAGCGAATCACTGCAGTTCAGCGAGTAATATGGCTGTTAAAAATGAATTTAGCCTCTCCTTTCCTTATCAGAAGGTGACCCCTCCAGACACTGCGGAGGTCATAATACAATGAGATAAAATTCAAATTGCCAAGCATCTGAATTTTGACCGTATGACCATGGGTATATATAATACAACGGCCATGTGAAGAAACAGTCATAAGTCGCTTTTTTTCAGTGCCGTTGTAACTTCAAACGGTCACTAAATGAACTGTTATAAGTCGAGGACTACCTGCAACTGGCTGGTTTTCTACAATGGGCCAAGAAAAAAGAAAAAAAACCAACCCCTGTTGTGGCTCAACAATATGTCGTGACTCCGATCAGAGAAGAACAGAGCTTCTGCAGATGTGTAGGTAGGCCAACATGCCAAGCTTGAACCACCTATGTCATGCCCCTGTCGGAATCTGATTCGGAGGAGGAGGCTGAACAGCTGACAGGGAATGAGAGTGTGGCTCCATTGGCTGTGGAAGAAACCAGGGGAGGGCACAGCCCGGCTGGGCAGAGCAGGTCAGAGGTAGAGCAAGGGAGGGGGAATTTGGAGGAAGATCCAGGCCCACCCCCTCTTCATCCTAGGGCACGTAGGGAGGAAAGGAGAAGGGAGCAACATGAGCTGAGTGGCTTATGGGGGGAGGAAAGGGCCCTGATTCCCTTCATTATCTGGGTTCCTGGCGTCTTCCCAACTGTGTGTGTTTTGCTGGCCTTTCAAGCCTGCAATTCCTTCTCCTGCCCTGTAGTTAATTACTGCAGTGTGGTTTGTGTGGATTTTTAGTCAGTTTGTACGTACTTTGTGTTCTGACTGAATTTCCTCCATTTAATGACTGTTTTTGAGAGAGCTTTTTCTCTAGCCGAAGGTAACCTGGACTTTGGGGGCAAAGTTGGAGGTATTAGAGGGACTCTTCTTGCTTATTTGACTGTGTTGCCTTTGTGCCACACCCCGGGTCATCACAGTTATCTATTCCTGCACTTATGACCGATATTGGGACTGGAGCAGTCATTAAGTGAGGCATGAATGCACCTGATTTTACGACCTGTTGGTTTTTTTTTTGCAACATTCATCAAGCAAATCGCCAACAATTGTTAAGCAAATCCTCTTGACTTTGCTTGTTGGAAGCCAACACAATTGGTCGTGTGAAGGCGAGGCACTGCAGTGGTTGAAAATGTGAGTCAACTGCCAATACCATCCAAATTGTGGTCACACGCCCACATGTGGGGCGGTCATAACTTTGTGGACTGGTTGTAACTCCCATTTTTCAGGGCCAACATATTATCAAACCCTAGTTAAATAGCAGTAACTCAGAGACTGCCTTTATGACCAAACCCACCCCCCCCCCAAACAATTCTGGTAGTCCTCAACTTACAACAGTTCATTTAGGGACTGTTAGGAATGAAAGCAACCTAACAGGTATTTGGGTTAGAAATATATAAACCAGGATAGACATTTTAATACTGTCTCTTTAAGAGCATGCTAAAAACTGCAATTGGGTGTGGTTACTCAAACAGCCATAAGATGGAGCCAGAAACCTGGGTTGTTTTAGTCTTAGTCTTACTCTCAGAAGAGAGCATGCCTCAGTCTGTTTCCTTCTGTTGGAAAGTATTGCCGTTCCTCCATTTCTTCTAATTGACTGGTATTACTGGATTTAATGTAAGTCTGATACTGAACTGTTTTTTGACATTGGACTTTGATATTTGGATTATCCCTGGATTAAAAACTGACTGATTTAACTTGTGAATGACTTTGGATTGCTTGTTTGGACTTTGCTTAACCTTTCTAGAAGTAAAAACCTACATTTACTGTACAGTGTATCTGTGTGCTGTGTGTGTATTATTCAAACACTTCTCTCAAATACGTCTCCCATATGCGCTCATTCTCCTAACGGGGAATTACCTCAACAGGGACCATTCAAAGTAACAACGGCCCTGAAAAAAGGGACCTTTTTCACAGTTATGACCTTTGCAGCAAACCCCACCCCCATGATTACATGATGAACATTCGGATGCTTGGCCACTGGCTCATATATACGACGGTCGCTGTGTCCCAGGCAGTGATGAGATTCAAATTGTTTTACCACCAGTTCGGTGGGCGTGCTTTGCCTAACCCCCAGGCGCAGCTTTCCCCACACCAGCTGAGACCTGCAGCGCCAATCAGCTGAGAGGATGAAGAAGAGAAAAGCGCAGGAACGGGTGGAAAGGCCGATCCTGCACTTTTCTCTCCTTTTTCCTCTCAGGATTTTTTTCCTCCTCTCAGCTGATTGTCGGCTTTTTTTTTTACTACCAGTTTGGCTGAACCGGCCCAAACCGGTAGCATACCACCACTGGTCCCAGGCCCCTTTTGCGACCTTTTGAGTCAATGGGGAAGCTGGGATTCACTTAACAACCAGGTTACTAACTGATCAACTGCAGTGATTCACTTAACAACTGAGGCGAGAAAGTTCATAAAATTTTGGGGCAAAACTCGCTTAACTAATTTCTCACTTCACCACAGAAATTTGTGGTCTAACTACACTCACATCATCCTCGTAAAACAGACCGCATTTGATTATACTGATAGTCTTTGACTTACAACCCACTCATTGAGTGACGGTCCCAAGTTGCAATGGCATTGAAGTGATTTATGACTGGTCCTCAGTCTTACGCAAGTAGTCCTCGACTTAACAGCAACCATTGAGCCCCACCCCCCCAAATGCATGTTGCTAAGGGAGATGTTTGTTAAAGGGAAACGTTTGTTAAAGGGAGACTTGGTGTATTTTACGTGGGTTTTTTTTACCGCAGCCATTAAGCGAACCGCTTAACGTTCAATTAGTGACATGGTTGTTAAGTGAATCTGGCTTCCCTGTGGACTTGGCTTGTCAGGAGATCGCAAAAGGGGATCGCATGATCTCCCAGGATGCTGCGACCATCATAAATAGGCATCAATTGTCAAGCATCCCAATGGAGATCATGCGACAATGGTCATAAGAGTGAAAAATGGCCATAAGTGCCGTTGTAACTTTGAACGGTCACTAAGCAAACCTGTTGTAACTTGAGGACCAAATGTAACTCAGGCAGCATTCCCACATCCGCATGGTCCAAGTTCAGGCACTTAGTGACCAGCATGTATTTATGATGGTTGCAGCATCCCAGGATCACGTGATGGACTTTCTTTACTTTCTTGGCAAAATCAACGGAGGAAGCCAGATTCGCTTAAGGACCATTTGATTCACTTTTAACAACCGCAGTGATTTTGCTTAAACAACCCGAGCGGGAAAAAAAAAGGTCATAAAATCAACTACGGTACACTTAGCGGTGGTCTCGCTTAGCAACGGGAATTCTGGTCCCAATTGTGGCCGTAAGTCAAGGACTACCTGTATGTAGGGGTGGGATTCAACCACTTCAGACCGGTTCAGGCTGAAGCAGATGTTAAAAGTTACAGCTGGTTCACCAAACCGGCGTTTCAAACGACCGGCTGGCCCCTCTCCTCAGCAAATCTCCACGTGGCCCATTTTCGATGGGGATAAGTGCAGGGTCGGCGTGGAGGCTCTGGGAGATAGAAAAAAACGGGCCTTCTGGGATCTGGAAATGGGCCTGTTTCCGGCTTCCGGAGGGCCTCCCGAGGCCGGGGTGGCTGTTTTCGCCCTCCCAGAGGCCTGGGGGAGGCCTCTGGACCCTTGGGAGAGTGAAAATGGCCACCCCCGAGCTCTAGAGACTCACCAGATGCCGAAAATAGGAAGATCTGGTAGGCCTCACCCACCTTGGCCATACCCACCGGGCAGCGAACCGGTTGCTGGGATTTTTGACTCCCACCCCTGCCTGTATGCCGATGCGCTCAATCATATAACAGGCCCCAGTCCCTGCAACTGACCACGGTCAAATGTAAAGAGTTTGAATCTTTGGGTCTGTCAGTCCTAGAAACCTTCTCTTTCTTAGTAGAAACCGTTTCGGGAAAAATCTATGGAGATTCTCAGTCATCCCAGGATATGATTGTCCCAAAGGTGCTTTATTTTCAAGAGGCAACTGGACTTTCTGGTTTTCCTTTTGGAGACATTTCGCTTCTCATCCAAGAACCTTCTTCAGCTCTGACTTCCATTCCCCACCATCCAGTCAGAGCTGAAGAAGCTTCTTAGATGAGAAGCGAAAGGTCTTTCAAAGAAAAACCAGAAAGTCCAATTATCTCTTGGGGGAAAAAGACAAACGAAACACCTTTGGGACATTTCTGAAATACCTCCAGTTCCTTTTCATCCTTTTCTCTGGAGAACCAGAGCTATAGACAGGCCTGTACGTCAGCCAAATCAATATTTCTAATTTTTCTAAAATCGAAGCCCTTAATTTTTTGGAGATGGGGGGAAACGGGGGAATTGTGTATGTGTGGGGGGGGGGAAATAGAAGCCCTCTCCCCGAATAATTCTGTAATTAAATTTAGTTATTAAGTCTTAAGATGATGAACCTGTGTATACCCGCTCCTTTTTAATATTTCTTCTCCTTGGAAAATATGACGGCCCTGGAAACCTCCATTGTAAAGAAGGACTTCTATTTTGTCGTGAGAACACGAGCGTGTCTGCCATTTTGCTTCCCATAAACTAGAATTTCTTCCTCCCAAGCGGAATTTCCTCATCTAGTTTTTATAGGTTCTCCAACTCTAAAAAGCGGATCTTAGATCTCAAAAAAATGAAATAAGTAAAATGGAAGTCCTTCTTTACCGTAGACGTTTTCATTCTATTCCACACCTGGCGGATTCTCTCTTTCTGGAAAAAGAGAAAAAAATTCCCTCAGCCCTGCATGGCAGATCCAAAGTGGACAGAAGGTGTGACAATCTATCTACCCCTTTGATCACCTCCTCCAGGTATCGAACCATCAGCATCTCCCCAAATCTCCCGTATTTTGGTCTGGATAGATTGGTGGACGCCCACACACCCCTGCCGGTTTGTTGTAACATCAGTGTTCAGAAAGGAAACCTTTTGTTAGTGCAAAATTGCTGAAAATGGACCCCCCTTCTAGTGAAGAGGTGGAACTGCCGGCGAAATACCGAAGAACCAATGTCTCCCTCAGAAAAGGAAGATCCCACTGAGAATCGACAGAGATCTCAGGGAGATCTCAGGAATTCCCTTCCGTGTGGATTCGCTGATGACTAATGAGGTTTGAGCTCTGAGTAAAGCTTTTCCCACAATCCAGACACCGGTACGGCTTCTCTCCGGTGTGAGTCCTCTCGTGTGCCACCAAACTGGAACTGCCCCGGAAACTTTTCCCGCAGACAGAGCACTGGAATGGTTTCTCCCCGGTATGGATTCTCTGGTGAGTAATGAGGTGGGATTTGTAACTGAAGCTTCTCTCGCACACCATGCACTGGAATGGCTTTTCTCCCGTGTGAATCCTCCGGTGCGCACTGAGGCGCGAGCTGACACTAAAGCTTTTCCCACACTCCCCGCACTGGTACGGTTTCTCACCTGTGTGGATTCTCTCATGGCTCACCACCTCAGAGCTGCGGAGAAAACACTTCCCACAAAAGGAGCAGCGAAAGGGTTTCTCGCCCGTGTGCGCCCTCTCATGGGCCAGGAGATCGGAGCTCTCGCTGAACGTTTTCCCACAATCCAAGCAGACAAAAGGTCTTTCTCCGGTGTGGCTCCTTTGGTGCTTCCGGAGACGGGAGCTGACGCTGAAAGTCTTCCCGCACTCGGTGCACTCGTATGGCTTTTCCCCCGTGTGGATTCTCTGGTGGCTGTTGAGGTACGAGCTCTGGCTGAAGCTTTTCCCGCACTCCAAGCACTTGTAAGGTTTCTCTCCCGTGTGGATCCGGTGATGGGTAATGAGGTTGGAGATGTCGCTGAAGCTTTTCTCGCACACCGAGCACTGGTACGGCTTATCTCCTGTGTGGATTCGCTGGTGGCTCACGAGGCCCGAGTTGCGGCGGAAACTTTTGCTGCAGTACAGACATTTGTAGGGTTTCTCTCCCGTATGCGTCCGCTCGTGAGCGATCAGGCCAGACTTCACGCTGAAACTCTTCGCACAATGGGAACACTTGTAGGGCTTCTCGCCCGTGTGGGTTCTCCGGTGGGCGATGAGGCTGGAGCTGACGCTGAAGCTTCGCCCACACTCCGAACACGTGTAAGGTTTCTCACCCGTGTGGGTTCTCTCGTGGACGATCAGGCGCGAACGAAGGCTGAAACACTTTCCGCACACCGAGCATTTGTGGACTTTCCTCCCAGTGTGGTCGGAACCCTGGCTGAAAGTTTCTTTGCATAGAATGATCTTGACAGCCGGTTCATCGTTGGCGTCTTTCTTTTCTGTCGGGGTGACGCCGAGATTTTGGTAACCCTCCACCAAAGAAATGGAGTTTTGAACCCTCTTCCTTGGAGGTTTTCTCAAGGCAGCGTGCTCTGGCTTCAGCTGGCTTTCCGAGATGGCTCCTTGCTGATCTGAAATGGGGACGGAGTCCGTGGTGCTTCCCTCAGATGACTTGGGCAGCAGCTCGGCTTCACTCTTTGCCAGCCGGAGAATCCCAGCGTCATTTTTACTTCTGCAGCGATCATCTAAAAGAAACCGAAACGAATGGGGACAACGTTAGTCTAAAATGGTTCTGGGTTTGTTCAGAGGTGTGTTCTTTAAAATCAAAGGGGCAAATGAAGAAATAGCAACAACACTTGAATTAATACCTCATAGTGCTTTACAGCACATTCTAAGCCAGGGTCCCCAAATGTGGCCATTTTAAGACTTGTGGACTTCAACTCCCAGAATTCTCCAGCCAGCTATGCTGGCTGGAGAATTCTGGGAGTTGAAGTCCACAGGTCTTAAAATGGCCATGTTTGGAGACCTCTGCTCTGAACTGTTTACCACATCAGCCTATCAACCTCAACAATCTGGCTCCTCATTTCACCGACCTCGGAAGGAGGGAAGGCCGAGTCAACCTTGAGCCGCTCAGGATCAAACTCCTGCAATCCTGCATTCTAACCACTGCCCCACCGGGACTCCCTGAATCAAGCCAGCAAAATCATATATCATTGTTAAAAATCATTTCAAAACTGCCAAACATCCTTTCAGTTCGTAGAATAATCTGAGCCTCCATCTCCAGCGATTTGGTCCATGGGTTCTCCTAAAATGGATGGATTGATTCTCCAGCAGTAATTCTGGGAAAGGTGGAAGGAAAGAGAAGAAAAGGGGGGTGGGGCCTAGCAGTGAAAGGGATGGGTTCAATTACAAGGCTGATGGTGACACCAGTTATCATTGACAACGTGAATAATAATAATAATAATAATAATAATGTCTCTCAACTGTTAGGATTCCGGCAGTTACCCCATTTAAATGATGAGTCTCGAGCCAAACTTCCAAAACTTCAAAAGGATTTATTGGGAGTTCACATGTCCAGCACTGCCTGGGTGTAGCTGACTCTGAGGCACATCATTAATTATCACCCTTGACCCTGGTTTCCCCCCCCCACCTCCTGGGCGTATTGTAATTCACATTCTCCAATGGGAGACATCCATAGCCCAGGGTCATCTATCATGTTCTCCAATTAGAATTTTGTGCGGCAGAAACTTCAGTCACTTAGTTACGATATATTTGAAAACATTTATGGCATGCAAGCTGCCGCGCTGCTCCCCCCGTCCCTTTTCGTTGGCAACTCTAAAAAGACCACAGAAATATTTTATGAGTTGACATCGACATTAAACCTCTTTTTTTTTTTTAGAGAGACACTTTTCTTGCAATTATGGTTGGCTAATTATGGGCCATCCGGTTAGTGTCCACAACAATCACACAGAAGGATTCCGTCCATGATCTTCTCGCTCAACCTGATCCTTCAGGCTCTTCCGATGGTTCCCTTGTCACCACTGCAACCGAGCCCATCCTGCTTGGTGCTGGTCATCCCTCTCTTCTCTTCCCCCTTCCCAGGCTTAGGGGGTTTCTGAACAGAGCGAGGCCTTCACATCCCGTGTCCGGAGTAGGATAATTTGAACCCGGCTCTTTGTGCCTCCAATGAGAACTCTGTCTAGAATTGTCGAGGGAGATTCTCCGTCCTCCAGGTTATCCCAAAGGTGCTTTTTTCAGGAGACAACTGGACTTTTCTGGTTTTTCTTTGAAGACCTTTCACTTCTCATCCAAGAAGCTTCTTCAGCTTGGACTGGATGGTGGGGAATGGAAGGATGTATACTCCTTGGAGATGGCTGGTCATTTGCATTCTTTTAGCCTGTCGTTGAGGTCGCCTGGAGGTTTATCTGTGTCCTCAGAGTCTCCTGAGTGGTACAAATGGCTGTGGAGCCTTCTTGGAACTATTGAAAGGACTGTGTTGTAGAGTGGAGATAGATGATGTCATATCCTTCCCCCTCTATTGAGAAAGGGTTGTTCTGTTTTGACATAGATGGCCTCTTTGACCCCTCTTTCAAACCTCTCTGTCCAAAATATGGACTTTGTTGTCTTCAAAAGAGTGGCCTGTGTCCTTTAAATGCAGATGGACTGCTGACTCTAGTGTTGATGTGTTTAAGAGAGAGAGGGATACATCATTTGTCCCCAGTCTACAGCAAGGTCCTTTCAACAGTTCCAAGAAGGCTCCCCAGCCATTTGCTCTATTCAGGTGACCCTGAGGACACAGATAAACCTCCAGGTGGCCTCAACGACTCTCTAAAAGGATGCAAATAACCAGCTCTCCTGCATGGAGTAGAAATCCTCCCATTCCCCACCATCTAGTCAGAGCTAAAGAAGCTTCTTGGCTGAGAAGTGAAAGGTCTTCAAAGAAAAACCAGAAATAATAATAACAATCATAACCTTTATTGTCATTGTACATATATATACAACAAAATTGATTTTGCTCCTGCTATCCATAACACAAATTCCATACAACATAAATAATATAGAAAATGGTATACAAGTAATCAGGGAGAAACCAGTCATATGTATATGTGTTGTGACTGGAAGGATCGATCCTGCTGGGAGTTTTGACTCTGATGACTCTGACAATGGAAGGTTGGAGCCTGCTGTGTATGTGGAGTCTGAATTATCAGAGGACACAGACGTGAGCCAGGAGGATGAGAGATTGTCGCAGAGACAATCCTCCCCAGAACCTTCGGCTTCGTTCAGGCCAGAAAATGATCAACAAAATGAGACAGAAGTTTCCAGCGAGGAAACTGTCAGATCGTGGATTGACGCCAGAACTAGAAGAACCAGGAAACGTCAATCTGAAGGGAAGCGTCAAGACAAACATTGATTGGAGAGACTGACACACCTATCCAAGTGATTTAAAGAGGCGTGCTGACTCTCAAGCTTTGCTTGGAAGCAAAGTGTTTGATGAGTCGGAAGAATACATTTGAAGTGGCCTTGTGAGTTATGGACAATTCTGATTAGCCTGACAGGTTCCGGGAAGTCTGCCAAGGACTGGACAACTGTGCTAATTTAAGCCTTTTGAATTCGGTTTTGTTTCTGCTTGAATATTTTGAATTTTGAAACCTTGTCTTCTCATCTATGAATATAGGTGAGACATAACATATATGTATCCATGGAGTGACTGTGTCAGCCTTCAAGATCTTCTACTACTGCTTTGCATCTTTCGGCTGCCATAAGTAACGGGGGGGAGGAGGGAGGACAAGTTGGGAAGCGAGCTGGAGGTGGTATAAACTAGCATTGTATAAAATGAGGAGGGGGGAGAGAGAGTGCATTCTTGCTTAGGTTTCTATTCCTTGCTTAGCCTTCTCTCCTCTGCGCAGTGCAAACCTTTATCAAAGAATGCCAAGGTCAACGGACAGAAGCCTCATCACCACCTGAAGATGCCCACATGATGTTCTTCGCAACTTTTAACTGGAAGACTCATTTGAACTATTGGGGGTGGGAACGTTTCCATCGCTTTGTATATGTGATTTACGCGCCTATTTCCTCAGATTCAGAATCTTCGCGTTGCTACCACTTCATTTCCAGTAAAAGATATCTTTTCTCTAATTAAAAGAGTCTTAAGTATTTCTTTCTTGGATTTTGAATGGAGCGCCAGCTGACAGACTGTAGTTGTATTTACGAGTCTGACAGCCCATGGATAAAAGCTGTTTTTAAACCTGTTTGTCTGGCTGGCTATACTTCTGTATCTTCCGCCCGATGGTAAAAGTGAGAAGACACTGACCAGGATATGAATCGTCCCTAAGTATCTTCCTTACCCTGATGAAATCACAAGACCTTGGCGATGTCCAGTTGTCTCTTTGAAAAAAAAAGCATCCTTGGGTCTGTCTAGAATTCTTTGGCTTACTCTATTTCCTTTCTGCCTTGTGAGGCCTTGGCTTTCTCCCAAAGCTCACCTTTAATTGAATTGGACTATTGTTAATTGGCATGAGTTCTCCAGGCTCGAGCGGAAGATATTCCCAGCCTCAATGAATAAAATGGAATTTGGATGCAGGAGAATCTCTTACCGGGAGGTTCCGAGATAAAGCGATGCACTTCGCGGAAACTTTGAATGTCGCATGAGTTGTGTCTCACCTAAAGAGGAGTCCTCCAGAGGCGGCTCCTGTTTAACCTCCAAACACGGTGGACTCGGCGCAGTGTCTGACAAGGTTTGGTCACTGGCCTTTGGGGAGCTCGCGCCCGTCTCCTCAAGTGACTCAGACACCTGGAAAAGCAGGGAAAAGCCCATTCAAGGACGAGAAGAACAGACTGGAAGAGTTCCATAATTGTGATAGATTACATTTTTCCCCCCCCCCCCCCGACTTAAAAATCATCGAGAGCGGTATTTCTCCAACTTGGCAATGTTTAAGATAGGCGGACTTCAACTCCCAGATGTCAGCTTGGGGAGCCATTTTTCTTTTGGAGCTTCTAGGCCGCCATTTTTAGCGCCTGGGAATTTGGGAGGGTTTTTTGTTTTTTTAAAAAATAGAGCAGTGGATGATTAGCCATAACAACATTCTTTCTAGGAGAGTCAAGGACTTTTCACCCTGCACCTGGAGGCGAGTGACTGGGGATAGACTCCAGATGGGACGAAGACATGATTGGGATGGACTGTGTTGTGGTTTGCAAGCAGCAGGTGCGGACGGCTGAGGTCTCAGAGAGCGAGGACTCAGATGAGGGGCCTGTGTGTGATGCAGGGATGGGGACAGGACCTTCAGGGAGTGGAATGCTGCCTTTGGAGATTGTGGAGGCTGGCAGCAGTGATGAAGAGGACCCAGAGGAGCCTGTGCCCAGTGCGCCTGCACGCAGGGCTGCTCCAAAGAGCAGCTACTGCAGCACGGGCGACTCAGGAGTAAGGCTGCAAGGTAATGGCCCCTCCCTTAAGAGATAAAAGCCAGCTGAGAAACCGGAGTTCTTTGCAGGAAGCAAAGAAGTTTTTGCACTCAAGCCTTGTGGATGTTCGGAATATCTTAGTTTGTGTTTGGAGACTCTTTGTGTTTGAAATATTTCTTGGCAACTTTGTCTAGTGTTCTTGGCAGCCTTGCACAACCTTGGCAAGGCTCGATCTTATCAGAGACAATTAGTTTGAAACAGGCTTTTAACCGTGAAGGAACGGAATTCGTAAAGAATCATTAAAAGGTTTGGCTGTTACTTTCGTTTGGTGTTTGTTCCCTTGGAGCAAGGTTTGGGTCAGAACAGACTGATGAAGGCAGGGGTTGGATCTTTGATTTTTCTTTTAAGAAGGGAACACCCGGAACTTTCAGATTCGTGTTTTCCCAGACGTGCCAGTATGACACCTCTAATAAAATGGAACTTTGAGAAGACGATTGTCTCAAGAGTTGTCTGTTTTGGAGCAGTGGTTGCCAAACAGTGGACTGGTGGCCCGTGAGAAAATTTTGGCGGTCCGCAGAGAAATGTCACCCCCAAAGCAATTAATCCTGGCTGTGCGGGAACACAAGGCTGCGCCGCCCACGTGGCCCGCTGGAACACAAGGCTGGCATCACTTGCATTGAGAACATGAGGTAGTGAGGGGAGTGGGGAAACAGAGGAGAGCGGGGGACTTGCCCCACTCACCCCAGGTGCCTCTCCTGACTACCGGGCTGCTTTTTTCTGCTTCTTTCTTCTGCTTTTGGCTGCATGCAAGGAAAGCAGCAAAAGTCTTTCTTTCTCTCCCCCAAACTCTGCCAGAAATGAGTCTTTGGGACCCTGTAAGGAATTCTACTCCAAGAGGCTGCGCCGGTGTGACGAATCTCACAAAGACTCATTTCTGGCAGAGTTTGGGGAAAGAGAAAGAAAGACTTCTGCTGCTTCTGCTGCTTTCCTTGCATGAAGCCAAAAGTCTCTCTCTGTCTCCCCGAGAACGGAGCTGGAGACAGTATCCTGCGATCCCAAATAAAGAATGATCGATCGGTAGGACAACAGGGTGGGGAATTTTCCTGCAGACTTTCTGGGGAGATTTTCCCAGGGTCTCTAGTCTGCAGGATTTAAAATTATAAGTTTGGTGGTCCCTGAGGTCCAAAAGGTTGGCTGACCCGTTTTGGAGGTTGTTGCTTGGAACGCAGACACCAGAATTCCTCAACCAACAGGCTGGCTAGGGAATTCTGGGAGTTGAAGTCCAGGTCTTAATGTTGCCAATCTTAAAAAAAAAACCACTGATCTAGAGAAATAAGTAGTCCTTGACACATGACTACCACTGGGACCAGAAATATATTGTTAAGACATACAGTTGTTAAGCGAGGCAACTTTCGCCCAATTTTATGACCTTTTTACCACAGTCAATTAAGCGAATCACCATGGCTGCTGAACAAGACACCGGGTGATTATGCTTGGCAACCTTTCCAGTTGCTGGCTTCCCCATGGACTTCGTTGGAAATTGGCTGGGAAGGCCCCAAATGGCGACCACACGACCAGAGGATGATGTAATCTTTCCAAATGCTGGCCGGTTGACAAGTGCCCGAATCACAGTCGTATGACTATGGAGACACTGGGACGATCGTAAGCGCGTGGCCAAGGTAAGTCACCTTTTTGGGAGTGCTGTTGTAACTTTGAATGGTCATTAAATGAACGGTCGTAAGTCAAGGACTGCCGATACTCAGCAGGTTAGATAAACAGAGGACAAGTTTAACTTTCTTGGATTCCCTCTTCAGGATTACGTAATGATGAGTTTTACCTTAATTTTTATCCCTTCTCAGTTATTACAAGATCCGTTAAATGAGTGGCGGGAATTTGCTTTCTTCCTCTGCCCTCCGTATCGGGCAGAGTTCCCCAACCTTTCCGGGTTGGCGGCCCGGAGCAGGGGGAGGGGGAAAAAGAGGGGATGAGTTTACGGGTGTTCTGACCCAAACCTGTTTCCAAGAGAGCAAACACAAGACAAAGGCAGCAGCACAACCTTTTAATGTTTCATCGATGAATTCTGTTTCTTCACAGAAAAAAAGGCTCTTCCAACTAATTAGCTCCGACAAGAAAGAGCCTTGCCAAGTTTTCGCAAGGCTGCCAAAAACCAATAGATAAGAAATAGTTTGCAACACAAAGAGTCTTCAAATACCAACTGTAATGTCCACGAGGCTGAGTTTCAAAACGTCTTTGCTTCCTACAAAGAACGTTCGCTGCACAGCTGCCTTTTATCCTCTTGAAGGAGGGGCTGTTACCTTGTAGCTTTACTCCCGAGTCGCCCGCGCTGTTGTCGCTGCTCTTTTCTCCTAGCAATCCTGCACGCACACGCACTTGGCACAGGCTCCTCAGGAACCTCCTCATCGCTGCTGCTGCCAGCCCCCACAATCTCTGAAGGCAGCAGTCCACTCCCCGATGGTCCTGGCCCCTCATCTGAGTCCTCGCTCTCCTCAGCCATCTGCACCTGCTGCCGGCTAATCACAACAGCGGGAGGAGGAGCTGCATGGGCATGTGAGTGGCCCAGACGTTTGTGCGAGTGGGGCAGCAACCGCCCACAATGCTCCATACCGGCCAGCCACTCAAGTGGCCCGGTGGCAATTAGGCCACAGCCTGCCTTGTAGTGGGCCGGGGCCCACAAGTTGGGGAATCCCTGGTGCAGTTCTTTCCTTGCGCATCATACCATTTATGCTGTTAAATGACTGCCATTCAACAGATTTGCAGATCTTGTTCTTATTGACCGAAGATCCAGATAAACACAACTGAACAACTGTTAAAAACTTCAGCGTGCAGAAGGTAAGGTTGATCAAACCAATTGCAATCTCTTGGGAGGGAGCGGGGAAGAGGGAAGAAACAGATCTGATTCTATGCCCCCTTAAGGAGGAATCCTACCCCAAACTGTTTCAACCTTCAAAATGTTTTAAGCTTGGAACGCTTTGCACAAACCTGAACCCCGAGGGCTGTGAAAATATTTACGGACCCCTCACATCCCGGACATAAACTGTTTCAACTCCTTCCCTCAAAACGATGCTACAGAGCGCTGCACACCAGAACAACTAGACACAAGGACAGTTTTTTCCCAAATGCCATCCCTTTGCTAAACAAAAAATTCCCTCAACACCGTCCAACTATTTACAAAGTGTGCACTCCTATTACTGCTAATCTTCTCATCACTCCTTATTGCCCATCCCCTCCCACTTGTGATTTGTTGCTTGTATCCTTATGATCTATATTGACTGTTTCCTAGTATGATTTGATTGCTCCTTGTACCCTATGACTATTATTAAGTGTTGTACCCTATGATTCTTGACTCTTGATGAATGTATCTTTTCTTTTATGTACACTGAGAGCATTTGAACCAAGACAAATTCCTTTTGTGTCCAATCACACTTGCCCAATAAAAAGAACTGTATTCTATTCTATTCCATTCCATTCCATTCCATTCCATTCCATTCCATTCCATCTTATGATTCTTGATGAATGTATCTTTTCATGTACACTAGAGCATATGCATCAGACAATTCCTTGTATATCTAATCATACTTGGCCAATAAAGAATTCTATTCTATTCTATTCTATTCTATTCTATTCTATTCTACTCCAT